GCCTGTCGAAATATAGCACCTCCTTCTGGAGGTTAGTACTTCTTTAAACACTTGTCTCAAATAAGACCAAATAGTTGTAGGTAAAATGCAGAATTGCGATTTTTCTCACCTAATATTCCTCTTGAATCTTCAAATCATCTCGTCTGGTCCAATCTGTCTTGTCAGGTTCAGACAGATAGAAGTCTTCAATACTGCATCAGTCAGCAGCCACCTAACTATACAGACATTAGAAGTTACACAATGTCTCAAACAACATGCAATAGATAATAGGTTGAATGCAGAATTCAGATTTTTCTCACCTTTATATTAATATATGTCTCTTGGGTCTTCAAATCATCTGGTCTGGTCCAGTCTTCTCAGGTTCAGACAGTAGTCCTCACTACTGCATCAGTCAGCAGCCACCTGACTGTACAGACATTAGAAGTTAAAAGTCTTCAATAACTGCATTAGCCTTCATCTAACCATACATACATCATAAGTTGCACACTTGTCTCAAATTAAAAACTAGCAATGCACACACAAACCTTAAATATATTTACCTTAAAAAAGAAACACATACCTTGGCGAGAACTCTACATAATGAATATAAAAACTGGAATAGAAACAACAATAAAATAAATCAACCCCCTTCAACTGAAACTTAATGTGGAATACAAAAACTCGGTGCAAAATATTTTGAAAACAGGAATTGCTACCTTCAAGCATAGTCATCTGTAGTGTTTGCGCCAGAAATACTTGGGCTTGGTCATTACTATTTACTGAATTACTCTAAAAAAGCAAACGAACAAGCTTTTAAATTATAAATGATACATTGCAAATGATAATGAAGAACGAATTTCAAAGTATGGTCAACTCGACTTAACTAGTTTTCAACCGTTTTGTATCGTATTCATTTCGGCGCCCTGAAGCTTTGAGGCCCCCATCTTGTTTACGCAAATTTTTGGCGGGAAAAATAACTAATTATATACTAGTACACGGCCACATTCCAACAGGTGTTTTGAACCACGTGGAGATAAAGAGAGAAAATGGTTCGGTGAATGCAGAATTAATTTCTTTCGACAAATATAACCTCAAAACGATGAACAACTGACTAAAAAGACATGCACATACATTTAACACTCTACAAGCGTACCACACATTGAAAATGTTGTTGAAAACGCGGCAACTTGATGGACTTTTCTAAGCCTATGTAAAATTAGGAACGGTCGCTACCTAATACAGAAATAGTTCATTTCTTACGGAATATGTTGACATGTTCGTACTAGTTGCTAAGGAATAATGTAAGCCAAACAATGTACTGGTTTACCTGAAACAATGAGCGAAGTCGTCTCCATTAGTCCATACCACGTTACTCTTCCCAACTGTCTCGCCATTTTTGTCTTCTCCAAAATTCGCCAGGTCAGGAAATCCGCATTTTCTCCTCAAAACATCACCAGAACGGCACAAATCCACAGCAAAAACTCCCAAACATTCTGCTGCACCCTTACTAAGACATTCTACCGACGAAAACGTCTAAAAGTACCCAGAAAGTTGTGAAAAAAATAGCCCAGAGTATTCCCGTCGTACGAAAGCGCCATTTTGAACCGGACCATACCAAACTTGTTTTTACACAGGTGTGCAGAACGGCCGTGCATAATTAATGTGAAGTTGATAATCTAATTATGACGACCAATGACGGCCCGTTTCGGTGCCAGCCACTTATATGTGTCGAAGAATGACGATTAGATTATTCAACTACGAAGGGTAAAAAAAAATGGATGAAAATGCAGCTAAAGTTGACTCTGTGCATCTTAAAGTTTGTCTATCGAAGTACAGGGCTTCAGGTAATATGACGACCTTTATGTATTTTAATTCTCCCTAACTTTTGCCAATAACGCCATATAGTATGTATGTTACGTGCTATCATATTCTAGTATCGCAATATATATAACGTTATATATATGCCATGGTATTGTTGTAGAAACGACTGTGTATTAAAAATACATATTCATCAACGTCCATTTCACTTCAAAGCACAGTATCAAGAGTATGTCTTAAGTCATATTCGTGAGAAATGAAAACAAGAAGCCATTGGTAACAATCCTCCGTGAAGTTTTATATTTTGCAACAAAAATAATCCCAAGCATCAACGCCAGACCTACTGTGCAGACATAAGGCAACGGTTAATACAATGAGGGCGCGTCACAACCATAAAACATAAAAAGACCTAAATCCATTACTGCTCTCAGGGCGTGTAAAGATACTGTGCTTCAAGTTCGAAGTTCATTTTAATTACACACACACAATCATTGCATTCACATAAGGATTGGACTATCATGGTCGTGTCACTAGTAACAAAGACAGCCCCACCGTCTTACCGTGCCTGTTACTTATTAAGCGCGACTGGCAAATTCCAGCAACAGTTGCGGCCAGCACCGCGAGTGTTACTGCCGTGGTACCACTTATCGGCCCCTCACCATCTGCCTGAAGTTCCACCTCCCACTGCTATTCCAAACAACGGGTTTTTCTGGACCATTCCAATTTGCCTCATAACTATAGGGGTGCATCTGCAATATTACATTGACCGCAACGGCAAAAATACACATTCGTGCATCAACACGGGCATGCCCGCAGGCGGCGTATAAAATTGCATGCCGATTACACAAAGAGAACCCAGTGTTTTGACTGCGAACACGAAAAAACGACTCTTCACAACACTCCGTCCGGAGGTCCTGACCTCCTTCACGGAGTAATAATCTTGTTGGATAGGCAATGGAGTCAGCTTGTCTACTGCAGACCTGTCGTGTAGACAGCGCGTGTTGTCGCTCGCTCCTAGCCTCTACCAGGCTGGAAATAGTAGAAATTGGCCAAATAGAGAGATAGCACACCGAGGGAGTTTAGCCATCCAGTTTACAGTTTGCCGGCAAACTGTAAACGTAAACGGCAAACTGTAAACTGGATGGCTAAACTCAATCGGCGTGTTATCTCTCTATTTGGCCAATTTCTACTATTTCCAGCCGCGCCCTCAAGCCTGGTAGAGGCAAGCTCGCTCCCCGGTGTCAGCAGGCACGTGCTGTGGGGAGATAGAGTCAGACCCGCGACAGGAACACAACGTGATGGATGACTCAAACCTCGTACAACACGAACGGCCTAGGAACGGCCTAGGAACGGCCTAGGAACGGCCTAGGAACGGCCTAGGAACGGCCTAGGAACGGCCTAGGAACGGCCAAGGAACGGCCTAGGAACGGCCTAGGAACGGCCAAGGAACGGCCAAGGAACGGCCTAGGAACGGCCAAGGAACGGCCTAGGAACGGCCAAGGAACGGCCTAGGAACGGCCAAGGAACGGCCAAGGTACGGCCTAGAAACGGCCTAGGAACGGCCTAGGAACGGCCTAGGAACGGCCAAGTTCGCCATCACCGTTTGACAATCCGCCGTCTAGACGCGGTTCCCGTCAGATATAGAAAATATTAGCCCGAAAGCAGGTCCTGATATAAGTTGCGGCCAGCACCGCGAGTGTTACTGCCGTGGTACCACTTATCGGCCCCTCACCATCTGCCTGAAGTTCCACCACCCCCACCGCTATTCCAAACAACGGGTTTTTCTGGACCATTCCAATTTGCCTCATAACTATAGGGGTGCATCTGCAATATTACATTGACCGCGAAAGCAGCAACGGCAAAAATACACATTCGTGCATCAACACGGGCATGCCCGCAGACGGCGTATAAAATCGCATGCCGATTACACAAAGAGAACCCAGTGTTTTGACTGGGAACACGAAAAAACGAAAAAGGTCCTGACCTTCTTCACGGAGTAAAAAGCAAACAAAACAGATATTAGAGGAACGGAATGCATTCGGTCGCCTCCTCAGTGGAAAGGGAGTATTACTGACCGTTCCCTTCTTAATTCCCCCCTACATTCAGCCGAAACAAGTGAGTTAGTGTTATGAGTGGATCAATTTTCCCCCTTGCAAATAGGCCCGTCTGGATTGTTGCCTGTTATGTAAACATCACGAGTTCCCCTGATGAGTGTAGACCTCGGGCTCGGTGGAACGGTTCACCCGCCAATACATACTCTCCAAGCAGAGGTTTGGG